TTGTCCTGAGTCGACGGTCAATTGCCTTTAAGCAATTGACCGTCGTACTCAGTCTGGCCTATTATCCACTGCATAAAAGTAACCTGCCTGCAACAAAAAGAGATGCAGTTCAATAAAGGTCCAAAGGCCGAGAACTTGAACACGTCTATCATATCAGGGTAAGCCATCTATTTAAGCTGGAAGTCTGCTCACTGATGTTTCTGCTCATCGATGTAGACAAGAGCTATCCCATCTGAGCTTTGTGGCTATTTCATATGGGGTGCAATTTTGACCCAAGGCTACTCAGTCTGGGGAGATCGAAGTCTATTAAATGCCCTGCATTGACGAACCAGTCTTCCGACGACTCCGTGCTGGGGCAGTTATGGGGTGCCAGATGGTGATTGGGGGGCGCTGTTCCTCTGTGGTGCGCACTGAGCCCAGGAGTGGAAGTTCCGGTTCTTCGGTCTGGTTAATTGTGTGTATTATTGTTTCTCTGGGTGGCTTCAAGCTTATTGGGCTCCTAGATGTTCAGTCTTGAGACTCTGGTGTTTGCAAAGACTGGACCATGTCAAATTTACGTCGTTATCAGCATCTGATCTTTGGATCAACACTTTTGGTCGCTTTCTGTTCATGTCATTCATGGCCTTTGCTGTAACGCTGAACATTGATTTGACCGTCGAATACTGAATTTTCGTTCCGATATCACCCCTTGTGGTTCACAGGAAATGGTTTTGACGACGTCGACTCTCTGCTGCTGGAAGCCCATTTCAACTTCTCCGTTTGTGAATACCGTGGCTGGCATTGTTCGGAGGGAAAATGGTATTCAAAGAGATGAGTTGTGGAGGCCTAGGTAGTAGATGTGACGTCCCGGCTTCTCCAATGAACCGCAGAAAGGTCGAAAACGTCTCTGTCGTCATTGACACCGATATCGATGACGTGATTGGCATGAGAGCCAGAAATTCAAACTCTGATTTTGAAAACTGTCGAGTCACATCTTCAATTGCAACCACCATGGCCCCCTCACTCATCCCTCTGCAAGGTGAAATTCTTTCGGTCTCCCTGATAAAGGTATTCATTTTTTTTCACAGATGGCTGGTTCCATGAGATGTCGTCGCAATGGCCTGGCCAAGCAATGTCATTGAAGGTGAACAGGATCTTGCATGTCGAAAAGTCCCTGTACCAGGACATCCTGGTTTTTGAATTGGAGACATTCGGAAACGTCCTGGTGCTCGACGGTGTTGTCGAATGCACAGAGTGCGACGAGTTCTCGTGAGTGATATCTTTTTCTTCTCTATCATCGGAAGGCTGACATCGGCCGATAAGTTATCAGGAAATGATTGCACATATCGCCTTGAATAGTCATCCGAACCCCGAGAAGGTGCTGGTTATCGGCGGTGACGATGGAGGTGTTCGAGAAGTGTTAAAGCACGACTCGGTTACGGAGGTCGTTCTCTGCGATATCGATGAGGTACTCGTGCACCGTTTCGCTAATATCAACATACTGAATGTTTTTGTAGGCTGTGATCCGAGTATCCAAGCAGTATCTTCCCCATATGTCCTCTCTTCTTTCATCTGCCAAGGTGACTGTTTTCATCGGAGACGGTTTCAAGTTCCTGGCTGAGCATGACGGTCGCTGCGATGTCATCATCACCGACTCTTCGGATCCTGTTGGTCCTTCACAATCTCTCTTCCAAAAGCCCTACTTCTAGCCTCTCCATGATGCCCTTGCTCCTGGTGGCAACATCTCTACCCAAGGAGAATGTCTTTGGTTGCACCTTCCACTCATCTCCCAGCTTAGATCAATGACTCTCGAGATTTTTCCTGTCTCCGAGTACGCCTACACGACCATCCCCACCTACCCTTCCGGTCAGAGAGGCTTCATAGTCTGTTTCCAAGTAAGCTGATCGTGACTTGAGCAAGCCCCTACGTAAGCTCAGCGATACGAGGTATTACTACAATGCTATTCATATGTCTGCGCTCATCCTCCCTGAGTTTGTTGGTGTCCTTCTGTCCGAGGGCAAGAACATACAACCGAAGTTTGGTCGTGAAGCACTTGCAGTTGCGAATGTGAACAAGCAATCATGTGGACTGGACTTGGAATGATCTGGCTACGCGTCTATGGGGCGCACATTGAAGACTGTCGCAGCTCTGTTGGATGCTCTCGCTCCATGGTCCCAAGGGATGATTTATGATGGTGAGAGTCTTCCTTTCATGCTCGTTCGCGGTCCTAAATACAACCAGGATCACGCCGTCAACGATGACAAGACCAATCGCTCTGTATCAGCAGATGAAGCTCTAGGCGCATCACGTACTCCCCGAAACGCAATACTGGGTTATTCGTCGAGAGCACACTGAAGGCATTGTGACCGATGTCGGTCAGCCGACCAGCAATAAGAGATCAGGAAGTTGAAGCAGTAATGGGTATAATGGTTTCGTTTTTGCGGTAGTGTTTTTTTTTTGATATTTGGATATTTGGCAGGACAGACGAATTGTTCCCTACTTCATTAACCGGTTTGTTGGCGAGGATCATCGGAAACTTGCGAATCTACAGCTGCCTCTGATCCAAAACTGTGGCTAGGTCGTATGATTCCATCTGGTTGCGAAACTGACCACGAAGTTACTCAACGAAATCTTCAAAACAAAAAACGCACGTTCGGCAAAGTTTCATCATCGACTACATTTTTCGTCACCCCCTCGCTCTGTTCGTCGTCGCACCAATCCCTTCCCTCTTTTTGTTAACTACCGGTAGATCCGTCAACGTTGGAAGTGGGCTCTTTGGTACGGGAATCGCAGGACGCTGTTCAATCCACGGCCGTTCATCGGGTGGATTGGGCTCAGGGGTGGACATCCGAAGGTTGGATATAGGTGGTGGGCCGGCGGTTACGACAACGATTGTATCTTGGCTGGTAGCCGTGGGCATGCTCGTGGAATCGAACGAATTGACTGCCTCAGAACAGCTCTGAACTATAATTCTGTGATTCGTAGCGAGATGAATCCTAAGGATCTTCGGAATGCAGCCCAGTATCTCGCCATAGGTTCCAAGTTGGAAGAGGCATGCATGGATCAGATGATTCTGGTTCTTGCACCAGTCGCAGCCAACGATTTTTGTCGACATTTATCAGCTATTGGTAGTTGACCCGGAGCTTCAGTTGGCGGATGTGCGCGGCTAACAATCTGTGCATGTCCAGGTCGTCGGTAATGCGTTCCCTCGTCAAGAGGAAGACCGGACCTTTGTCGTCTTCGAAATTTTTCGTCTCCATGTACGAGAGGCGCCAGGATCGAGTCATCTTTACTGTGAGCTCAGCGGGGTTTCCTAAACGTCCTTGGGTCTGGGTGATACGTTTGACTAGGCTTTGGATGGAGACGTCGCACCAGGTGGCGGCTTTGATGCATGCGAGAGCTTCAGCTATCAGGTCAGGGTCATTGCTAACGACATTGCCCTGGAAAGCAGTGATGGTCGAAGCTAGTGCCTTCGGGTTAAATGGGATGAGATTCCAAACAGCATGCGATGCCGTTGCGAAGCATTGGTTACAGAGGAGGAATTTGGCGAAGTTCTCAGAGAAATCTGTAATGATCAGGGGCCACGGCTTGTCGAAGGCACTCTTTCTTCTGCGTCCTTCATCTTTGTTCCTGTCTTTCTTGTCCTCCTTTGCTTCGATAGGGAAGAAAACCGTAAGCTTGCCCTTATCTGGGAAGTCGAGGACTTCGAGAAAGGTATTCAGTAAAAGATCTGCCCTTCGGTTTTCGGCGTAGAACTTGGGGCCCGCTCCGAAGGGGACGGCTGCGATGAACTTTTCAGGGAAAGTGGCAATAGCGTCATGGATGTCTTCTGGGAAACCAGCCGTGATATGATTCCATAGGATGAAGGTGCGGGGGAATATAGCATCCGTGAATGGGGTTGCGGAGCCCGTGGGGAGTTTCACAAGCGTTTCGCCAGAGCGGGTGAACTTGTCGTAGGGGAACTCGTCGCCCGCCGTAGGCAGGTCGGCGGTAGCACGAGGGTCAGGGAGTTCGTATGGAATCGGGTGCGAGTGGACGAGGTTTGTCTTTCGTCACGATTCTCCGTTTTCCTCGTCTACGGTCGGAGGAGGTGCCTGATCTTTAGTCAGAGGATTATTTTTTTGAAGGGTCGTATGGACGCGCGTTTTGCCTCGCACTGCTTCCCGAGGTCTTCTGTCTTTTGTTAGGGTTCCCTCCTGGCGTCTGGAGGAGGGGCTCTTCGCTATTGGAGGCAGACAGTTCGGCGAGTGGGGGGCTGAGAGGGAGGAATGGAACTCTATGGCGGACTGGCACTCTTTAAATATGATTTGAGACGTCCTAATTTTGCCAGGACGAAGGGCGAGCATTCTTCTTCTTTGTGACCCAGTGGCAAAGGTCGTATCTCGGCTACCTCGCCTTTCTATGGTGGGAGTTTCGCGGCGTTTTTCCCTGAGAGATCTCCCGGTGACGGTAAATTCGCTACGGGCATTGACGAGGATGTAGGGGGTGGTCGTGGTCGTTGATTTCCTTGGGTGACGTGGCGCGGGCGCTGCCTGTCACCAGCTCGCTGCCACTGCCGTCTATTTCGTCTTTGAAGCGAGGGATTGGTCTACGTCGTCACCCTGCATGGAGCGGGATGGGATTGGGGGTGACCGGAGAACTGAGCAGGGATCTTATAGCCTAGAGGGCCTTGGGAAAGGGTTGGTGTCTCTACTAGCTACTACATGCGGTAGTCAGTGGTCTGGCCCAGAAGAACTGAGACGTCTCAAGACAACGAGACATTTCTCCTGACCAGTGAAGGTGCAAGGACGATGATTTCTTTCGCTCGCTGTCTTGACGAGCGAAATTCCTTGAGCCAGGTTTGGAGTGGCACGACGCCGAACCCCACATGGTGGTGGTTTTTGATCAAGGGCCTCTGTCACGTTACTGAATTATTCAAATTCTAGTATTTGCATCTATACCTCCCTCATAACGCATACCGCTCATAACCCATTCTCTCTCAAAACCCATAGGATGGTCCGTCTACCTAAGTGCGGACGGCACGAACGGCACGGATATAGCCGGAAATAGCCCCTAGTCTTCATAGAAAGGCAACTCACATCCCACCCTCCCTTTCTGCCCTCCCCTCAGAACAACTCTCAGTCGACTCTGCCTCTAAGTGTTTTTTCTTTCTGTTTACATTTGCACAAGTAAGCCCTTTAGCTTTTTTTTGATCTCTCCTTGTTACTGACCATTCCTTCCCAGTGGCACCTAACCCCTACAACCTCGACGAAGTATTCTACGAATCGTGCCTGTACCTCCCCACACATTTCGGAAACCAGTCGCCAATCTGCTCACTCTCGTCCCCCATCTCACCCACCGTCTACACGTTCAGCAAGCGCGAGGGCAACACTGACTCATCCCGTCTCCTCGACCGTTACCCCGCCGCTTATACAGACTTCTGGGGTATGCCCAGCTGCCCTCCCTGCATCTACAAGTCGGGCCCTGCCTGGCCTGTACGCAAGGGTCTAGAAGCACAGCGTGTCATCCGCGAGGCTCGCCCTGTCTACGGCCACCCCATCTCAGGCTCCTGGCTCAAGATCGGTACGGACATCTACAAGACCCTCGACTCTCGTGGCGTCATGTGGACCTCGATCGACCCCGTCGCCTTCGCCGATGCTGGGGAGAAGACGCCGTTTTGCCCACTCCTTATGTGGATCGGCGTGAAGCACAAGACTCTCTCCTTCGACGCTGCGGTGGCTGCCGCTGATGCCATCAAGCTTATCCTCAGTCTAGCTGGCTTCCCTTACATCGAGGTCGCTTTTCGCGAGTCGGAGGTGACCCACTCTATTGCTGGCCCAAAGCTCCTCCCCTTCAACCCCCTCCTTGACCCTGTCCCCAAGTTCCTCAAGCCTTTCACACCCACGCTCGGCCTCTCCATCGCCCCGCTCAAGATGCCGCACTATGAGGGCACCGGCGCCCTCTACTTCCGCCTCAGCAAAGACGATGAGCACGTCGTCCTTCTCACTGCTGCCCACGTCGCTCGCCCTCCTCCCGCATATGCCAACCTGCGCATGGCGCGCAAGTATGGCAGCCAGCCACGCGAGAACATCGTCGCCCTCGGCAACATGGGCTATGAGAATTCTACAAATGCCATGATGGCCACCATCGGCGACAGCGCTCGCTCCATCGAGGTGTGGAACGGGGTGATCGCTAGGCTGGGTGAATTTGTCGAGGGCGAGGATGCAGAGGTCACCAATGCGCGCAAGTACGCCCAGTTCGATGTGAAGAAGGCGACGAATATGATCGACGACTTGAACAAGCTTCACGACGACGTTACTAAATATAGGACGAACCCGAGCCAGCGCATCATCGGCTTCGTCCTCCATGCTGAGCCCATTGTCGTCACCGACGGACCCACCGAGTTTACGCGCGACTGGGCCTTTATCCAGCTTTACCGTGAGAAGATTGACTGGAACACCTTCCTGGGAAACAAGGTCTACATCGGTACGTTTCCCATCTCGTCCCGCAGTTTCAGTTTTGGCTGACTATTATATCCCCGTAGGTGGCAACCTCTCGATGCTCGATTTCTGCAGGTTCTTGTTCCCACAGCGAGAGGACCAGGCGGGCTACGAGTACCCGATCGATGGGCTCCTCCAGGTCTGTGGTGTCGTGAAGGACGACGAGATCTGCCAGCCCCAGCACCTCGACATCTATGGTGAGAAGGCATTCCTCGTAGTGAAGAATGGCCTGACCACGGGCACCACCATTGGTCGCGTCAATGGGCTCAAGTCTTTCACTCGCATCTACACCGACTACGGTGCCAAGTACACGTCCATCGAGGTCGCCATCCTGCCCTACACCGACAACAAGAAGCTGCGTGGTTCCTTCTCCGCCCCTGGAGATTCCGGTGCCATCATCCTCGACAGGACTGGCCGCATCGTCGCCTTGCTCACAGGCGGTAGCGGCACAATGGACGAAACAGACATAACCTACGGGACCCCATACTGGTGGCTTGAGGAGCAGATCAAGAAGGTCTTCCCCGACTGCCACCTCTACTAGGTCGTTGCCTAGGTTCATGCATTTTTTAAATGCTAGCTAAAACTCAGGTCTTGTTCTTTTTTTTCTTCTTTACTTCCCTTTTCGTGCATAACTAACGCCATCTCTCCTTGATATACAGGTAGACCTCTTGGACTTGTCAACTCATCATGTAGGTCCTGAATGAGTCAGTTCGTTGTTGGTCAGCCCTTGTATGGTATCACGTCTTTCTGCTTCTCGGACATTCACAGCATATCTTTTTGTCATGTCTTTTGTACTACTAGATGTTGTACTTTGAAATTAACAGTGTTCATGCATGTTTCTAACTTGGGTGCGATTAAGTAAAAGTTTGATACCAAAGGTAAAGTTTTACACAGGCACTTGTCGTTCTGGTGCTAAGTCATGCTTTGTGACTTTTCTCTCTTCTCTCTCGCTCGCCGACTTCAAGGTGACGACTAAGAGTCTATGTCAGCTTCATCTCGCAACTTTGTTCCACAGATGTAAGTGCCATCGTTTGTGGGGAGTTCAGGATGCAGCAACTGACGAGATCCACGGTGAAGTGAAGGTCTTGGGGTACAGTTCCGTCTCTGTTATTGACTCGACGACCTCTTTGCTCTCGTGTATGCCTAACCTAACGGACATCAAGCAGCAATATTCTTTGTGCGATATTCTTTCGTGTGAGGAGGGCCTTACCGAACGGCTACCACCCATCTCGTGCCTCGTACTTGTAGGTGCAGAGTAGCGTGCAGAATAGCCAGGTACTTCGCCAGTCCTGGTCCTTCGTCTCTGTCATACCATGGTTCAATTCTTATCCACGTCCGTTGAAGCTAACGCTAGTCAGAATCGAAGGCGTATTCTCCACCCACGGGAAACCGTAGGAAAACACGATAGACTCAAATCAGTGGCGAAAGATGTTGGGGCCTTGGCAGGATCTTGGGCCGAAGTTCGATTGGCGAGACGTTGGAGGACTGCCGGCCTGACGGAGTCAGCGTTTCCCAACCCTCGTATGTAATCTATTCAGCTAGTCGAAGCTGTCCTTCCTTCAACCTTCGAACACAACCTCCCAATACACAGGTGCAACGGATCCCTCCAACAGCTGGACATTTTGGAAGATGAGGGTGGCGTCTGCTTCTCCACCTGCGCGCGCACGGTGTTGGTGCTTCTAGCACGTTCTCCACTGCGTGTCTTGCTACGATTACTTGCTGTCCCACTCAATCCGGTTGGTGCTAAATTGACCATTGTTTTTGGCAGAAAGCGAACCGAAGCTACGAAATCTCATTGTTAAGTGGAAGTAGTGTGATAAAGATAACGACTCACTGCGGAGGTTTCAATCAATGGCATTGAGACTGAAAGAGAGGAGCAACCGATGTCTCAGAGAGATCCGATTACAAACTCCTCACCGGTTCGGTCACTTGCTCGAACGGTTCTACCACGACACTTGTACGTCGATCACCGTTCGAGTCGGTCAACGACTTCATTGGAAAGACGGATACGTATTGCAACCCATCTCTGCGTGATGATCCATGGCCTAGTCATTCATGTTGAGATTGACCTTGGCCGCCTAGTCGGTCCATTCACCCAACGGTGGGGTCGCTTGACTGATATTAGGAGCACCATGGCTCCTTAAGTAGGAGGCCATTGACCTAGCAAAGTGTTAGCAGTAGAACTGAAGAAACGGTAGGGAAGAACGTACGTATGTCTTGCTGGTAATGAGAACATCGACGAATGCCTATGGGTAGAGTGAGTAAACTGCTCGCTCGCACGCAATGACGGCGGTGACGTACCACGGAGGGGTAGCGGAGAAGGATAGCCACAGATGAGGATGAACGTCCCACAGCTTCTGAAGAGAGGCCGAGGGCGTCGTCGTCTCAAGAGTAGCGTTGAGTATGACAGTTCATCCTTGGAAGCCAAGAGAGAAAGCGAAACTTTTGTATCTTTAGGACCAATTGTGGCCTATTTGTCTCATGTTTCGTATCCGTAAGGATCGATCAACCTGCGTCGATCGCTGTTTTTCCAGTTTCAGACAAGTCTTGACTCAGGACAGTCGGTCAATAAAAAGATACGGCGTACATGCTGTGGAAGCAGACTATGCTGAGGAACAAAGGCAGAACCCGGTAGGGAGGTGAACGTGAGTCAGGGCGGTCGTCGGGGTAGACAAATTGGGTGAGCGGAGTTTGATCGATCGTGTTCAGATACACGTGATCGCATGTCAACTGGAATTGATGATAGGCCCCTGTTTCAATCCTTGCCACACACAAGTAGCATATTGTTTTAGTGCTTAAATTTTGAGATGGTTCATTTTCTTGTGACAATTCCAATGAATTTCCTACTTCATTGACAATCTCAACACAGAGTGCAAGCCTACTTGATCTTTGAGCCACTCATATTAAAATTAAGAAGCTATAAATAGAGATCAACATCAATATAGTTTCAAAGATTAAAGGGTATAGATGTAATAAGTTCCACCACAAAGGCAAAGTCCAACTGAGCTCATCCTATCAAATGGCTTATGCATGCAGAACAGTCACTATTCACTCACTCTATTGCATTAATTCACCAACTGTTATCTAAATCCATGGCTTCAAGGTCAGCTGCTGTAACTGCACATATCTACACTGAGCATCACAGTAACATGTCAAGAGTAGCATCAACAGGAATGAGGTTCCTGGTTGTCTCATCCATACATTAAATGAAATACCTAGTAAAAAATATTGGCCAGTAAACTCTCTGGTGGTGAGCCTGATGAAATCCTGAGGCTGAACTCAAATAAAATAAGCAGTGAAATGTGTCTCATATCTGTTATAAATATAATGACTAATGACAAAATCTACAAGCTTATATGCTATTGTGAAATCCTTTTGCAGAGCTTGTAATCCACCAGAATCACTATCTGAATATGCCATAATAAGTCTGATGTTTTCATTGAAGCACACTCCAATATCACTGATGAGAACCAGAGTTGGACATGGCTCTTCATCTTTCTCATCAAGAGGTGGGACCAGTCAGTGTTCTATTATAAAGTAGTGGACATGTCAAATCAATAGTGCATGAAAAAAATGGACATTATTCTGGAGATGCTGAGAGCCAAGCTTAGCACCATTGTACAATGAAAATACTGATAAGACTTATAGTGTTGCAGTAATTGTTAATATGATCTCAATGCCTCTGCTATTTGTTGAGGTAGATGGTGTTGCAAGCAGTGTTGTAGATAGAGTTGTAGCCAAAGTTGAAACAAAAAAGATGTAAAAGTAATATTGAATCTATGTGAGAGAGAGTTCACCAGTCAGTATTGAAGGATTACTATCACTTGTTATAGTAAGAATTGATGAAGAAGTTCACTATCTTTCAACACTATATACAATCTCCATTGGATCCTATTACAGTATATGCTCATGTTGGCTAGAAACAACTATTGAATTGAGAGATACATCAGGATCATGTGTGACTTTCTCATGGTAATGAGTTCTGATCCAGCTTTTTAGTGCAATTGTTAAAAGAGACTTGCCATAAATTAGGGATTACCAGCTAATCTAATCTTACAATTATGAATGAGATAGTCACATATATTAGGCAGCAGCTCTGAGAATACCCATATGTCTTAGGCTTTAGCATTAAGAATGACAAGTGCTATAAATCATCAGAAAGGACAAATACCACAATAAAATAAGCACACAGCAGTGAAGTCTCCATAGGTCTCAGCTACATCTGTAAAGGTGTCAAATTCAATCAATAATTAATGGGAAAAAATGAAAGATAAGATTAAAAGTTTCTAACAAACATCTGGTTAATAAAGTCAGTTACTAGATCTGAGACTGAAAGGGGTTGTCTTGACTTTCTTCACTGAAGCACCAAACAAACTGTAGAAGATCATTTCATAGGAATATTGAAAACACTATTTGTGTCTAACAATTATTTATTAGTTCAATATGAGTGACACTCTACTGATATAATGGATTTGCCCTATCAATTCACTATCTCAGACTTGAAATGAGATGACCTCTTCTCCTTGTACATCTCTTGTGCATTCTTGATGCATGCATCTTTGAGTCATTCCATGATATCACCCTATTTATAATTCTCTGAGTCCTGCTTATCAGTGTGGCCACAAAGTGACAGCTTGATCCTTTTGATGATGGACACCATCTGACACAACTCTTCATCAAATGCAGCCTATTCCTGGGATGATACACCCATTGGAAAAGAGGTTCCAGTGAAGAGAGCAACTGTATTGATTTCAATCCTGATCATGAGTATCTCAATAATGCATGAGAATGCAAGTCTGTGCAGAGTTGCAGTCCACCAGTTGAGACAAGGCTTTTCATTGAACAAAGAGATAGTGATGGTCAAGTCAATGACATTCTTGAGGAAGAGCAGCTCTGGAATATTATCCTCAGCACCATCGCTTCATACATGAATATAGTGATATCATCCTCCCCCTTACACGACTCACCTGCAAGGGAACCCCATGGAAATTTGATGACAAATGCTTGGCCACCTTCAATGAGTTGAAACAGGCCTTTACACATGGCCCCATCTTTACCCACTGAGTCCCTGATCAAAAGATAGTGGTGGAAACTGATGCCTCCAACTATGCAATTGCAGCTATCCTCTCCATCTATCTTGAAGATGGCGAAATTCACCCCATCGCTTTCCACTCCCGGAGCCTCCACAATGCTGAACTCAACTATGACACCCATGACAAAGAGCTTCTAGCCATTTTTGAAGCCTTTAAACATTGGCAGCACTACCTTGAAGGCTCCGTGGACTCTATCGATGTCGTAACAGACCACAAGAATCTTGAATACTTCACCACCACTAAGATTCTAATCCGCCGACAGGTCTGCTGGTCTGAATACCTATCCCAGTTCAACCTAGTAATCCAGTTCTGCCCTGGAAAACTTGGTGGGAAACCGGATGCACTCACTAGATGATGAGACATCTACCCTAAAGAGAGGGATAGCCAATATGCCCAAATCAACCCCCACAATTTCCGACCTGTGTTTACCCAAAAACAACTCTCTACATCACTCTGAGCAACCTATCTCGAAGGCCCCACCCTATAGGCTAGTGCCATCATGAATATTGACAAACTCCACACCGATATCAGACAAGCACAATCCTCTGATGCTATGTCCTCCGACAGCCTCCGCTAGGCCAAGGCCGCTTCTGAATCCTCTCCCTCTCAATAGTCCATTGATGAATCCAACATCCTTCGCTTTGAAGGCTGCATCCATATCCTGGACTCTGATGATCTCCGTCTCTGTATACTACAGAACAATCATGACCACATCTTGGCAGGTCACTTTGGTCAAAACCAGACATTAGAACTAGTCCAGCAGAACTACACCTGGCCAAAGATGTGTGAATATGTCTGACACTATGTTAAGTCCTGCACAGTTTGTGGGCACAACAAGGCACCCAGACACCGCCCCTATGGGTTACTGAAACCTCTGCCAGTTCCTGAATGGCCATGGGATTCCATTTCCATAGACTTCATTGAACAACTACTGGACTCCAATGGATTCACCGCCATCTTAGTAGTCATAGACCAAGCTAGCAAGCAAGCCATCTTCATTCCCACTCATGACACCATCAACTCCATGGAGCTTGCCCAACTTTTCCTTATCCACGTATTCTCCAAACATGGGGTACTCAGTCACATCACATCAGACCACAGCTTCGAATTCGTCTCCCAATTTACTCATGCCTTAGCCATGGCCCTTGACATGGAACTCCACCTTACCTCTGGTTATCATCCAGAGGCTGATGGCCAAACTGAACAAGCAAACCAAACCCTGGAACAATACATCTGCATCTACTGCTCCTACCAACAGGACAACTGGGACACCCTCTTACCCATTGCTGAATTCGCCTACAATAATGCCTCTAACGTGTCTACTGGAATTTCTCCATTCTTTGCTAACAAGGGTTACCACTCCAACATCACCGTTCACCCTGAAAGGGATATCGTCTCTGCCCGGGCCTGAGATTTTGCAGTCAACCTTGATGAACTCCATCAATTACTGAAAGATGAAATTTCTGAAGCCCAGTCTCACTACAAGACCCAAGCAGACAAGCACCGGATTCTGGCACCTCCGTTCACAGTGGGGGACAAGATCTACCTCAGCTCCAAATATATCAAAACCACCTGCCCAACCAGAAAATTCTTGGAGAAATACCTTGGTCCTTTTGAAATCATAGCCCAACCTGGTATCCACTTCTTTACCCTGAGGCTTCTGCCAGACCTCCAGTCCATTCACCCCATCTTCCATGTGTCACAATTGAAACCCATAGAGGAAAACACTATTCCTAACCAAATCCAACCATCAACGCCTCCAGTCGAAGTTGACAGAGAAGAACATTTCAAAATAGCCCAAATCCTCGACTCTAAACTGGACTGCCAGTTCCGCTGCCCACTGCTGTACAAAATCCAATGGCTAGGATATGAAGGTACTAACAAAGAATTTGCTTGGTTACCAGCCTCCGAGTTCTCCGCTGATGAATTTATTGAAGAATTCCACCACCGATACCCAGACAAACCAGGACCCTTGTCCAAAGTTATTCAAACATCCCATTCCTAATACAGTGCTACTCTGGACACCACCATCACCCCACCTTACCATTTCAATTCTAACCACTAATTACCACTGTTCAATCACCCTTCCTACACTTTTAAAGTCAAAAAAAAAAAAAAATTTTGTATTTATATTTTTGTCCACCACCAACATCCAATGCCCTTTTCTATATACATTTTGTACAAAACATTTTACAAAGAAGCGGAACTCAAACTCTCCCCTCGCTCCTTCAACTCCTCTATATCCTCATCCAGCCTCTTCAACATCACCTCCCGAAGATCCTCCATCTCCTGATCCCTCTCATCCTTGAAAATCAGTTGGGCCTTCTTCTAGACCTCCACCTCGGACTCCGAAAACAGCTCCGAAGGAGACGACATAT